AATCTGTGCAGTAAGTTTTAAAATTGAAAAAATTTAAGAGTATGCCAACATTTTTTTCTTTAATATTTTTTTACTATTCTGAGTACCTTGCATTTCCATATGAATTTTATGATCAGTTTGTCAATTTCTGCAAAAAAGTCATCTGGTATTTTGATAGAGATTGCATTGAATCTCTAGATCAATTTAGAGGTTATTGCCATCTTAGCAATATTGCATTTCCAATCCGTTAACATGGAATATTTTTGCATTTATTCAAGTCTTCATTAGTTTCTTTCAACTGTGTTTTGTACTTTTCAGTGCACAAGTGTTGCATTTTTTGTTAAAATATTCCGAAGTATCTTCCTCCTTTGATCCTATTTTAAATGTTTTATTAATTTTATTTTTGGAGTTTTCATTACTGGTTTGTATAAATAGTTGATTTTTATATATGGATCTTGTATCCTGCAATGTTATTGAACTTTTGTACTAACTGGAAATTTTTTTAGTGGATTCCTTAGGATTTTCTATATACAAGATAATGGTATCTGCAAATGGAGATAGTTTTACTCCTTCCTTTCCTATCTGGATGCATTTTATTTCTTTTTCTTGCCCAGTTGTCCTGAGAAGAACACCCACCATACTGTTGAATAAAAGTGGTGAAGCAGACACCCTTGTCTTGTTAATGATCTTAAAAAGAGGGTTTTTGATCTTTCACCATGAAGTGTGACATTTGCTGTGGGTATTCGTACACACACTTTGTCAAATCAAAGAGTTACCCTTCTTTTCCTAATTGTTGAATGTTTTTGTAATGAAAGTGTGCTAGATTTTATCAGACACTTTTTTGATGTAGCTGTTAAAATGATCATGCCTTTGTTTCTTATCATAACAATATGGTGTACTATATTCATTGGTTTTCATATGTTGAACTAATCATGCATTCCTGGGATAAATCCCACTTGATCACGGTGTATAAGACATTGTATATCCTTGGATTTGCTTTGCCAATATTTGTTGAGAATTTTTGCACCTATATTCATAAAGAATACTGGTTTGCTGTTTTTCTTTCTTGTAATGTCTTTCTGTTTTTGTTATCAGAGTAATACTGGTCTCATGGAATAAATTGGGAAATTTTCCTTCCCATTCTATATATTTGGGAAAAGTTTTTTAAGGATTCTTCTTTAAATATTTGGTTAAATTCGGCAGCGAAGCCACCTGGTCGTGCGTTTGCATTTATGAAAACAAATTTAACTGCTAATTCAAACTCATTACTTGTTATAGGTCTCTTCACATTTTCCATTTCTTTTTGAGTCTATTTTAGTAGTTTTAGTCTTTCTAGGAATATGTTAATTTCTTCTAGGTTATCTAATTTATCTTACAATTTTTCATAATGTACCCTTATAATTTTTTTTCCAGTAAGTTTAGGAGTAATGTCTTGCCTTTCATTCGTGATTTCAGTATTTTGAATCTTGTTTCTTTTTTGCTTAGTCAGTCAGGGTAAATGTTTTTAATTTTCTTAATCTTTTCAAATAACCAACTTACGTTTTGTACATTTATTTATAGTTCTTTTATTCTGTATTTCCTTTATTTCTGCTCTATTTTTATGCCTGCTGCTTAATTTGGGGTTACTCTACTCATTTGATAATTTCTTAAGGTGGAAGGTTTAATTATTAATTTGAGATATTTCTTCTTTTTAAATATAGAATTTACAGCAATTAATTTTCCTATAAATAATGCCTGATTGCATCGTGTAAGTTTGCTGTGTTGTATTTTCATTTTCATTAATCTCTAAATATTTTCTAACTTCTCATTATTTATTCTTTGTTATATTTATTATTTAAGGAGAGTGTTGCTTAATTTCTGCATATTTGTGAATTTCACAAATCTCCTTGTTATTTATTTCTAATTTAATTTCATTGTTGTCCAAGAACATATTTTGTATGATTTCGTTCCTTTACGTTTATTAATACTTGGTTTTATTGACTAACATGTAGATCATCCCAGAGAGTGTTTCATGTGAACTTGAGAGAAATATGTATTCTTCTGTTATTGGGTGAAATGTCCTGTTAGATTCAGTTGGTTTATAATGTTGTTCAGCTGTTATATTTCCTTGTTGGTATTTGTCTGTTCTATCCACTATTGAAATTAGGGTATTGAAGGATAGAACTATTATTTTTAATTATTATTTTCTATCTCAATTTTTTTCAGGGATATTTTCAGTAATGTTTTAATTTCTCATTCATTTTGAAGGGTAATTTTACTGGATGTAGAATTCTTGGCTGATTGGTTTTTTTTCCAGTCCTTTGAATATATCAGCCTATTGTCTTCTGCCTCCATATTTGTTGATGAAATATTATATGCTAATCTTTATAAAAATTATTTGCACATAATTAGTTGTTAGCCTCTTTCTGCTTTCAGGAGTCTCCCTTTGTCTTTTGACAGTTTGATTATGGTATGTTTAAGTGTGGATTTCTTTGAGCTTATTCTATTTGGAAGTCATCAAGCTACTTGGTAGTATAACGAACGTATTTCATTAAATTGGGGAATATTCGACCATTTTCTCTTCAAATAGTGTTTCTAACTCTTTTTTCGTTTCCTCTCCTCTGGGTTTCCCAGTTTGGGTAGATTTGTATGCTTCTTCATTTCCCACAGATCTTGAGGATCTTTTCATTTTTCTTCATTCTTTTTTTTCTGCTCCTAAGATTGGATAATTTCAACTGACCTTCATTCTGATATTTGCATATTTTATTTTCTATCAGCCCATATTTGCTTTTCAGCTCCTAATAATTTTTTAGTTTCATTTATTGTACTTTTTAACTACATGATTTCAATTTGTTTCCTTTGTATAATTTCTATCTCTTTACTGATATTCTCTATTTAGTTATATATTCTCATACTCTATGTTCTCTAGACTTGGTTTCCTTTGGTGTTTTTGATCATATTTAAAATAGATGATTTAAAGTTTTTGTATATTAAATCTAATATCTGGGCTTCCCCAGAGATTTGTACTGATGACTTTGATTTTGTTTGTTTGTTTGTTTGTTGGTCCTTATATATATATGCCATATTTTCTTGTGTTTTTTTCCTTAAAAACTGGACATTTTAGCTAATGTAATGTGGTACATATGAAAATCAGATTATATACTCTGAAGAGGATTTTCTATTTCTACTGTTTGTTGTTATTTTCCGTTTGTTTAGTGACTTTGTGTATTAATTCTTTAAGTCTGTACTCTATGGCATGTTTGGTCACTAAAGTCTCTTCTCAATTAGCTTTGTGGTCAGCTAATGATGGGAAAGGGATTTCATGAAATGTATGGTACCAATAAGTCTCTGAGAACTGAGGGCATGTTTGTTGAGACACACCTTCAACATTCCGCCAGGCAATTTATAACTCTGCCTTAGACTTACCTCTTGATTGTACAGAGCCTAAAAGTCAGCTAGAGGTAAGAGTTTAGGGACTTTTCATGTTTTCCTAAGCATGAACATAGCCCCATGAATGTGCATGGTTTTCTCAATTCCCAGGAATATTTCAGAGCTTTGAAAAACCCTGATGAACATCTCATTACCTGGCATTTCCTTCTAAGCATTATGATTAGCCTATTGTTTGCTCAAATTGTAATTTTCTGTGTCAGGCAGCCATGGTTTGAATCAATTGCCTTTAATTATTTTCAACAAATGCCTTCAGGCAAATGGCTGCTATGCTACATAACGTCTAAGTCAGTAAAATAAAGGCTAACAGAATTGAGGTCTTTCAGGAAATAAGTAAATTGGTCAAATGATAAAATAACAATGAGAATGGGTCTTTGAAGGAGCTTTCACCCACTGATAGGGAGCTGTCACTGCCCTATCAGTGACAAGAAGGCTATTGTTTTTAACCATGACTGCAGGTTGTTGATTTTCAAGTTACTATTTAGCTGCAGGTGAGGGGATGGGAATAGGGCAAAGTAAAATGCCATAAACCTTGCTGTTCTTACTGAGATTCGGTTATTTTTCTTGATAAATGCTCCTCAGATTGCTGCAAGACTTTGATTAATTTCCAGAATTCTGAAAATATTGATTCTACCATTTTTGCCAGTGTTCTTGTTCCTTTTTTGGAGGAGAGGATTTTTCTAGTGTTTTATTCTGTCATTCTCACTGATGTCGCCCCACGGTTTTATTATTTGATGAATGTAAATCACAGGGCAAAGAAGTGATTATGGTATCTGCTTGTCAATTAAATTTTATTCATTAATTGATGAGTCCTAGGTAATTTTTAATAGGAAATTTAGTAATCTGCAGATGATGGACAAAGCACCTCTCTGCCACCTCCCCACTCCTCCATCATTCTCACCACACACACACACACACACACACTTTTCTTTTCCACTCTCAAATTAATGTATTTCAACTTGTCAAATGTTGTCCTTCCCCTCAATGTGCTTGCTCCATTAGAGATTATGTATGCTAGATAGCATTTTTAATATTCTAGCATCTCGAAAATTTGAGTTTAGTTATGTATACGCACATGCCTCTCCCTGTGAAGAGTCACTTATGAAGTTAAAATGTTTCTGACTCCCAATATTTTATTTTCTATCATTCTACAAATCTTACAGTGCTGATGTTAGGACTTCTACATTAAATTTTATTTCTCTTCATTTTTCTTTTATACTTTCTACTAATTTATACCTTCTTGATACATCTGGGAGAATTTTCAATGTGATATTCCAATTTTCAAATTTGTTTCTCATGGGTAAACCATCTCAATTACCTTATCTAGTATGTTCTTTATTTCAGCTGTTTTATTTCTCATATGTATTTCAGTTTGGTGTTTACTTTTTATATATTTTTGTATGTATATATGTTTTTATATTTCCTGTTTATATGTCATTGTATTAGTACATGTACTTCTTTCATTGTGTTTAGTATATGAATTTTTATTATTATTTGTACTTCAGAAGAGCCAAAATATTTGCTTCTTACTGAATCTCTGATCAATGCAGCTTGTTGTTTTCTTTTGAAATAAAAGTATTCCTCAGATAGCTTATTGATTTATTTAGAAGCTCCTATTTTTTGCAGTAAGAATTAGATAAGGACCAAAGGATACACTGTAGTCTGTATCAACTCTATGGCCACAAAGAAAGAACTAGGTGAAGATAACACCTAAAGTAGAGAGCCCAATGCATGAAAAACGGTATTTATCCTTCCCCATCTCAGAAAATAACTTCATTTCTTTGGAGGGGGATTTACTCTCAGTCTCTCAGAGAGAAAAAACATCAGAAAAAGGAGCTTAGTGTTTCTCAAATTTCCAATGAATATTGGAACTATATGGGGAGCTTTAAATAATACTGATGACTGTATCTCATTCAGTGATTTTGATTTAATAGGTCTAGTATGTAGCTTTTTATGGAATTTTTAAAAATTCCACAAAGGTGACTCCAATGTATATCCAAGGCTAAGAGCCACTGTCCATGATTAGATTCCTCAACCTTGTATGTTGAGAGGGTTAGAGATGGGAAGTGGACATTCCAAAGCTAGTCAATCCACAAGTATTTTTTTCAGCTTCTCACATTGGTCAGGCTTCTGAGTTATCCTGCTTGTAACCGTATGTATCCCAAAAATAGAGGGCTAAAATATCACGTGAAAGGACAGGCTCTGAATATCCTAAAACAAGGTAGGAGAGAAACAAGAGCAGAATTAGAAGTTTCTTTCCTGTATCATTCTTTCACAGACATCTATAGTGTGGAAAATCTACCTCCCAATCACAACATTTCAATGAAATCATCTATCTGATAGACTTTAGCTCAAAGTTTATTCTTATTTGCATGATTTCTGTCTTTGGTTGGGATGATCCTGAGCCAACAAGTCAGCTGTTCACACTAATTCAGTATCCTATTAAGAAAAACCACATACTATTAGACATTTAAGAGCTAAGGACAGAGTTTATACATTTTCTATACATAGTACCTGGTGGAGCTATTTGCTCAGAGGCTTCAATAAATAAATATCAGTGGTATAAATTAATGTACTTTACATGAAAGCTAGCACAACTGAACAAATTAATAAATTTGGTGTCCCATCTATATTATGTGATTTGAGGTATACTAGGAAGAACACTATATTAGCCTTTTACTAATAATCACATTTTCCAAATTAGTGTAGCTAAAATTCGTACATTAAGTATATTTTCAGATATATAAATATCTTCAGTTTATAGTCTCTTTCCATAAACCCACTACAATCAGAAACCACATCATAAACAAATAAACCATGCCTAAATTGTTACTAAAGAGATTAATTTCTTTGGAATTATGTTCCACTCCATTCCTCCCTTCTTATTACAATTGATGTTTATGTATGCTCGCCATTTATTTTATGCTGTTGGATAAATCATGTCATCATGATGGAACTCATTTGAAATTGAAAGTTGGACATAATGATCTCTTAGTAACTTTCAGTTCAACGTGTACAAATCTTACATGATTATATTAGATTGAAACATATGAAATTGCCAATATTCTACTCTCTTTTGACTTACTAGTATGGTAGCTCTATAAGGTTTAACTTAATATTTTTGTCCTGCCTTTTTATGCACCTGGTCTCAGCAAGAATATTGTAAATTTATTGGGTACTGGAAAGTTTAGAAATGTTTTTAAAAATTGGAATCACTGAAAATGGAAAGAGCTGAAGGAAAAATTATAGAAAATAAATCTAGCCAGACCATCAATGGGAAATATTTCCACTTTGAAATTTTACCTTTGGCTATCTCAGAACACATAGTCACTGCCAATCATTAAAACTTGTGAAACTAAATCATTGTGAGATTATCCAGGTCGTCTTCCCGCCTTTAAGGTGTCCCACATTCTTAACAAAATAGAACTGGATTGTTTACATAGTTACTGAAAACAGAATCTAACAAGTCTACTCTTTTCCATTGTTTTCAACTTTGTGAACTAAGCAGTTTTTTTTGCCAAAATAACCTTTTAATAATAATATTCTGCACCCCCCCTTCAATGTGAAGAATAGTTCGCAAAATTCTTCTTGTCTCCTAGAAAAAAATTCAAACAACACTTTTATTTGATCATTTGATTTATAGAATACTTCAAATGGACTCAGTAATGTCATGCTCATAGACAGAATGACTCAAAATAGTTTAGCAGTATGTTCATGCACAGAATTTTAATAGACCTCTCCATGGAGGTAAGCACATACCCATTATTTACTATCAAGTGTGTATGTGTTCTATTATAGTGCCTGAGAGGATTGGGGTATTTAATTCCCCTAGATAAGGTACACTTGTCCTTGAAATGTAACAAATATGCATGTAGGGAATGTGGGTTTTAAAGGGAATCTTCAACTTCAGCATTTTAAAAATAATAAATCCAAATTATCCAAATTCATGTAGTTCAAATTAGTACATTTAATTATATGTTTGGATATGGCAACCTCCTTGTTATAACTGACTCTACACTAGGAGTGATATTACTGCTATACTCAGGGATGCAAATTCAAGATAAGGCAGTCTCTAATTCCAGAAGATATTCTCTTTCAAAAAAGAGTCCTTATGTGGAATCTTATGAAAATGATCCTCGAATCACCTGTAGTGATCAGCTGTGTTGCATTGTTTTCACAGCTATTGCTTACAGCGATGGTCCTCTCCAGAAAACTGGATTCACGTCTACTTTTATCCATCAGTGGATTTTGAGTAATGTCAAGAAAGCGAATCTTGTGGTGCAATAAGTTAAAGGAGTGATATATTAGGAAATGAATGCTTTACAAATGATATCAATTTAAATGACCATCTATGTATTTAGAGATTTTATGCTACAAAATTTATTTGAAAATTTCAAAGAATTGTAGACACTTCTTTCTTTTTGGTTGGGTCAATGTGGTAAAATTTATAATTTTTTATTATATATAGTATTATCATATAAGGGTTGCTATATCTGTATGCATATATATGAGAGAACACAGGTGGTATATTAAATATACCCACAAATATATATTAACTTTACTCGTATTATAGGATTCATATAATTAATTCTTACTAAAAATTCATATTATTGTTTTGTTTCGTATTACAGGTTGGTGAGTAATTGATTACCAACTGGGCTTTCTATAGAGGCATATTTCATAAATAGTTACTTCTCCCTAGGAACTATACATTAAAAACCAGATCTTACAAGTTCTATAACACTGAAGCATGATCTATAAAAACTTCATGCTGCTGGGTACATTCTGGTATTAGATTCAAATAATCACTAAAGGGCCATGTTACTGCAGATACAATTTTAAACAAAGCAATCCTTTATGTCTAATGAATTTCCCTTTCTTACCTAGCCACTTTCATGAGTCTGTCTCTGATGTACATAAGATGAATCTCTCTTTGATCCTGAGAGTCAGACTCAATAGCCTCTGAAAATGTGAAGTCTCAGACATCTACTGCTTCTTATCAAATGGCTTTATCTCTTTATTTGCATCTGTCTCTTTGGATCTTACATATAATCAACAGCAACTTTTGGCTACACCAATGTTTTCCTAGGATAATCTTGGTTGTCCTAATTTAATGAAAAACAGAATTTATTAAGTGGCTTTGATTATCTTTCTATGAGAAAAAAAAAATCCACATCCATGAAGTTCATCCAACACATACTTTAAAGATAAATGCATAGCTATATTGGATCATTCTTTATTTATGAAATTTCTTTACTACAAAATTAATGTATTTCTCTGCCCAAATCATTTCTTTCTTTTTTTTTTAATTGAGTTAATGATAGGTTACAATCTTGTGTGATTTCAATTGTACATTAATGTTTGTCATTCATGTTGTAGGTGCACCATTTCACCCTTTGTGCCCACCCCCCACCCCACCTTTCCCCTGGGAGCCACTAATCTGTTCTCTTTGTCCACATTTTTAAAAATTCCTCATATGAGTGGAGTCATACAGAGATTATCCTTCTCTAACTGGCTTATTTCACTTAACATAATTCCCTCAAGGTCCATCCATGTTGTTGCAAATGGGATGATTTTGTTCTGTTTTGCAGCTGAGTAGTATTCCATTGTATATATACCACGACTTCTTTATCCATTCATCTGTTGATGGGCACTTAGGTTGCTTCCATGTCTTTTCTATTGTAAATAATGCTGCAATGAATGTTGGGGTGCATAGGACTTTTGGAATTGCTGACTTCAAGTTCTTTGGATAGATACCCAGTAGTGGAACTGCTGGATCTTATGGTAGTTCTATTTTTAATTTATTGAGGAATCTCCATACTGTTTTCCATAGTGGCTGTACTAGTTTGCATTCCCACCAGCAGTGTGTGAGGGTTCCATTCTCGGCACAACCTCTCCAACATTTGTTACTATTAGATTTAGATATTTTTGTCATTCTAATGGGTGTAAGGGGATATCTTAGTGTAGTTTTGATTCGCATTTCCCTGATGATCAGCGATGATGAGCATCTTTTCATGTGCCTATTGGCCATCCGTATATCTTCTTTGCAGAAGTGTCTGTTCATGTCTCCAGCCCATTTTTTGATCGGGTTGTTTGATTTTTTGTTGTTGAGTTGTGAGAGTTCTTTATATATTATGGATATTAAGCCTTTGTCAGATATATGACTTGCAAATATTTTTTCCCAGTTAGTGGGTTGTTTTTTTGTTTCAATCCTGTTTTCCCTTGCCTTGAAGAAGCTCTTTAGTCTGATGAAGTCCCATTTGTTTATTCTTTCTATTGTTTCCCTTCTCTGAGAAGACATGGTGTCCGAAAAGGTCCTTTTAATACTGATGTCAAAGAGTGTACTGCCTACGTTTTCTTCTAGAAGCCTTATGGTTTCAGGTCTCACCTTTAGGTCTTTGATCCATTTTGAGTTTATTTTGGTGAATGGTGAAAAAGAATAGTCAATTTTCATTCTTTTACATGTGGCTTTCCAGTTTTCCCAGCACCATTTGTTGAAAAGACTTTCTTTTCTCCATTGTATGCCCTCAGCTCCTTTGTCAAAGATAAGCTGTCCATAGATGTGTGGTTTTATTTCTGGGCTTTCAATTCTGTTCCATTGATCTGTGCACCTGTTTTTGTACCAGTACCATGCTGTTTTGATTACTGTAGCTTTGTAGTAAGTTTTGAAGTCAGGGATTGTGATGCCTCCCGTTTTGTTCTTTTTTCTCAGAATCGCTTTAGCAATTCGGGGTCTTTTCTTGCCCCATATAAATTTTAGGATTCTTTGTTCTAATTCTGTAAAGAATGTCATTGGGATTCTGATTGGGATAGCATTGAATCTGTAGAATGCTTTAGGTAGAATGGACATTTTAACTATGTTTATTCTTCCAATCCATGTACATGGAGTGTCTTTCCATCTCCTTATGTCGTCATCCAATTCTCTCAGAAAGGCCTTGTAATTTTCATTATATAGGTCCTTCACTTCCTTAGTTTAATTTACCCTGAGGTATTTTATTCTTTTTTTTATTTCTTTTTTTTTTATTGAGTTATTGATAGGTTACAATCTTGTGAAATTTCAATTGTACATTAATGTTTGTCAGTCATGTTTAGGTGCACCACTTCACCCTTTGTGCCCACCCCCCACCCCACCTTTCCCCTGGTATCCACTAAACTGTTCTTGGTCCATAGTTTTAAATTCCTCATATGAGTGGAGTCATACACAGATTATCTTTCTCTCGCTGGCTTATTTCACTTAACATAATTCTCTCAAGGTCCATCCATGTTATTGCAAATGGAATGATTTTGTTCTGTTTTGCAGCTGAGTAGTATTCCATTGTATATATGTGCCACATCTTCTTTATCCATTCGTCTGTTGATGGGCACTTAGGTTGCTTCCATGTCTTGGCTATTGTAAACAGTGCTGCAATAAACATTGGGGTGCACAGGACTTTTGGGATTGCTGACTTCAGGCTCTTTGGATAAATACCCAGTAGTGGGATGGCTGGATCGTATGATAGTTCTATTTTTAGTTTTTTGAGGAATCTCCATACTGTTTTCCATAGTGGCTGCACCAGTTTGCATTCCCACCAGCAGTGTATGAGGGTTCCTTTTTCTCCGCAACCTCTCCAACATTGCTATTACTTTTAGATATTTTTGTCATTCTAACAGGTGTAAGGTGATATCTTAGTGTAGTTTTGATTTGCATTTCCCTGATGATCAGCGATGATGAGCATCTTTTCATGTGCCTATTGGCCATCAGTATATCTTCTTTGGAGAAATGTCTGTTCATGTCTCCAGCCCATTTTTTGATTGGGTTGTTTGATGTTTTGCGGTTGAGTTGCGAGAGTTCTTTATATATTAAGGATATTAAGCCTTTGTCAGATATATGACTTGCAAATATTTTTTCCCAGTTAGTGGGTTTTTTTTTTTGCTTCAATCCTGGTTTCATTTGCCTTGAAGAAGCTCTTTAATCTGATGAAGTCCCATTTGTTTATTCTTTCTATTGTTTCCCTTCTCTGAGAAGGCATGGTGTCTGAAAAGATCCTGTTAATACTGATGTCAAAGAGTGTACTGCCTACGTTTTCTTCCAGAAGCCTTATGGTTTAAGGTCTCACCTTTAGGTCTTTAATCCATTTTGAGTTTATTTTGGTGAATGGTGAAAAAGAATGGTCAATTTTCATTCTTTTACATGTGGCTTTCCAGTTTTCCCAGCACCATTTGTTGAAGAGACTTTCATTTCCCCATTGTATGCCCTCAGCTCCTTTGTCAAAGATAAGCTGTCCATAGATGTGTGGTTTTATTTCTGGGCTTTCAATTCTGTTCCATTGATCTGTGCACCTGTTTTTGTACCAGTACCATGCTGTTTTGATTACTGTAGCTTTGTAGTAAGTTTTGAAGTCAGGGATTGTGATGCCTCCCGTTTTGTTCTTTTTTCTCAGAATCACTTTAGCAATTCGGGGTCTTTTCTTGCCCCATATAAATTTTAGGATTCTTTGTTCTAATTCTGTAAAGAATATCATTGGGATTCTGATTGGGATGGCGTTGAATCTGTAGATTGCTTTAGGTAGAATGGACATTTTAACTATGTTTATTCTTCCAATCCATGTACATGGACTGTCTTTCCATCTCCTTATGTCGTCATCCAATTCTCTCAGAAAGGCCTTGTAATTTTCATTATATAGGTCCTTCACTTCCTTAGTTAAATTTACCCCAAGGTATTTTATTCTTTTTGTTGCAATTGTGAATGGTATTGTGTTCTCGAGTTCCTTTTCTGTTAGTTCATTGTTAAAATATAGAAATGCTACTGATTTATGCAAATTTATTTTATACCCTGCAACTTTGCTGTAGTTGTTGATTACTTCTAACAGTTTTCCAATGGATTCTTTGGGGTTTTCTATATATAAGATCATGTGGTCTGCAAACAGCGAGAGTTTCACTTCTTCCCTCCCTATTTGGATTCCTTTTATTCCTTTATCTTGCCTGATTGCTCTGGCCAGGACCTCCAGTACTATGTTAAATAAGAATGGTGATAGAGGGCATCCTTGTCTCATTCCTGTTTTCAGGGGGATGGCACTCAGTTTTTGCCCATTGAGTATGATGTTGGCTGTGGGCTTGTCATATATGGCCTTTATTATGTTGAGGTATTTCCCTTCTATGCCCATCTTTTTCAGAGTTTTTATCATAAGTGGCTGTTGGATCTTGTCAAATGCTTTCTCTGCATCTATTGAGATGATCATGTGGTTTTTATTCCTCAGTTTGTTGATGTGGTGTATCACGTTGATTGATTTGCGGATGTTGAACCATCCCTGTGTCCCTGGTATGAATCCCACTTGATCATGATGTATGATCCTTTTGATGAATTGCTGAATTCAGGTGGCCAAAATTTTGTTTAGAAGTTTTGCATCTATGTTCATCAGTGATATTGGCCTGTAGTTCTCTATTTTCGTGACGTCCTTGTCAGGCTTTGGTATCAGCGTGTTGTTGGCCTCATAGAATGTGTTAGGAAGTGTTCCATCCTCCCTAATTTTTTGGAATAGCTTGAAAAGGATAGGTATTAAATCCTCTCTGAAAGCTTGGTAGAATTCCCCAGGGAAGCCATCTGGTCCTGGGGTTTTATTCTTTGGGATGTTTTTGATTGCTGTTTCAATCTCTTTCCTTGTGATTGGTCTGTTCAAATCATCTGCTTCTTCTTGAGTGAGCTTTGGGAGATTGTAGGAGTCCAAGAATTTATCCATTTCCTCTAGGTTATCCATTCTGTTAGCATAGAGTTTTTCTTAGTATTCTCTCATAATCCATTGTATTTCTGCAGAATCTGTTGTTATTTCTCCTCTTTCATTTCTGATTTTGTTTATTTGAGCTTTCTCCCTTTTTTTTCTTTGTAAGTCTGGCTAGGGGTTTGTCAATGTTATTTATCTTCTCAAAGAACCAGCTCTTTGTTTCACTTATCCTTTCTACTGCCTTTTTCATTTCAATAGTATTTATTTCTGCTCTGATTTTTATTATTTCTCTCCTTCTGCTGACTTTGGGCTTTATTTGTTCTTCTTTCTCTAGTTCAGTTAGGTGTAGTTTAAGATTGCTTATTTGGGATTTTTCTTGTTTGTTACGATGTGCCTGTATTGCGATGAATTTTCCTCTTAATACAGCTTTTGCAATATCCCATATGAGTTGGTATGGCATGTTATCATTTTCATATTATTTTCCAGGTATTTTTTGATTTCTTCTTTAATTTCTTCAATGATCCATTGTTGTTCAGTAGTGTATTGTTTAGTCTCCACATCTTTGTGCCTTTCTCAGCTTTTTTCTTGTAATTACTTTCTAGCCTTTAGCATTATGATCAGAGAAGATGCTTGTTATTATTTCAATTTTTTTAAATTTGTAGAGGCTTGCCTTGTTTCCCAACATATGGTCTATCTTTGAGAATGTTCCATGTGCACTTGAGAAGAATGTGTATTCTGCTTTTTTAGGATGAAGTGATCTATATATGTCTATTAAGTCCAATTGTTTTAGTTTTTCGTTTAGCTCCACTATTTCCTTGTTGATTTTCTGTCTGGATGATCTGTCCATTGATGAGAGTGGGGTGTTGAGGTCCCCTGCTATTAATGTGTTGTTTTTAACATCTTTCTTTAGGTCTGTTAATAGTTGCTTTATGAACCTTGCTGCTCCTATGTTGGGTGCATAGATATTTAGAAGCATTATTTCTTCTTGATGAAGTGCCCCTTTGATCATTATATATTGTCCCTCTGTGTCTCTCTTTACCTGTCTTATTTTGAAATCCACTGTGTCTGATATAAGAATTGCAACAGCTCCTTTTTTTTCCTTGCTATTAGCTTGAAGTATTGTCCTCCACCCCTTCACTCTGAGCCTGTGCTTGTCCTTGGGGCTGAGGTGTGTTTCCTGGAGGCGGAAAATTGTTGGATCTTGTTCTTTAATCCATTTTGCCACTCTGTGTCTTTTTATTGGAGAGTTCAATACATTTACATTGAGACTGATTATTGATGCATGTGGACTTAAAGCTGTCAATTTGTTGCTCATTATCTGGCTTTCCTGCTTTCCTCTTCCTGTGTGCTTTTTCCTACCCATTTGATACTGCAATTTCTTATGCTGGGTTTCTCAGATTTTTGCTTATTTATGTTTTGTGTCTCTGTTCTGTTGTTTAGTTTATTGTCTACCCTGAAGTTTGTATTTAGAATCTCGTGTATAATATAGTCTATTCTCTGGTGGTCTCTTACTTACTTGGCCTAGACTAATTTAGTCCCTTTGCTCTTCCCCTCCTAAATTATTATTTTCACTTCTTGTTCCAACTTGTGTTATGAGTTTGTAGTTAGAGTGATAAGATCGTCTTTGCTTTGGTAGTTTCCTTATTTTTATCCTAATGCTATAGTTGAATATTTGCTATCCTATTCTGGTTCTATTTATCTGTCTCCCTACTCTGTGGTTCATGACCTCTTTTTCCCTTTTTTCTTTTTTCAAGTATGAGAGCCTTCTTGAGGATTTCTTGTAGTGGAGGACTTTTGGTTACAAATTCCCTTAACTTTTGTTTGTCTGGAAAAGATTTAATTTCTCCCTCATATATGAAGGATATTCTTGCTGGATAGAGTATTCTTGGCTGAAGATTTTGATCTTTTAAAGCTTTGAATATGTCACTCCATTCTCTCCTAGCTTGTAAGGTTTCTGCAGAGAAATCCACTGAAAGTCTGATAGGGACTCCTTTGTAGGTAATTCTCCTTTGTCGTGCAGCCCTGAGTATTCTTTCTTTGTCATTCCTTTTTCCCATTTGTACTACTATATGCCTTGCAGTAGGTCTTTTTACATTGACAAATCTAGGAGATCTAAAAACTTCCTCTACACACATTTCTCCCTCAATCCCTAGATTTGGGAAGTTCTCTTCTATAATTTCATTAAGCACACTTTCTGCTCCATTTTCCTTTTCTACATTCTCGGGAATTCCTATGATCTTTAAATTCTTTCTCCTCATTGAATCTGCTATCTCTCTAATGCTTTCCTTATTCCCTTTAATCCTTAGTTCTCTTTCTTACTCTGTCTGGAGCCATTCACCCTGTCTATCTTCGATTATGCTAATTTGCTCTTCTATGGAGCACACCCGGGCATTCAGGGAATCTGTATTCTGTTTTATCTGGTCCATTGTGTTTTTCATCTCTAGTAATTCTGTTTGATTCTTCTTTATAATTTCAATCTCTTTTGTGAAGTAGCTCCAGAACTTGGCTTGTTTCTCTATCTTTCTCTCTACCTCATTGAGTTTTTTGATTATAGCTGCTCTGAACTCATTTTCATTTAGTTTACCTAATTCCAAGTCCTCAGGACTTAATTCTATGTTTTTATTGTTTTCCTTCTGGTCTGGGGCTTTTATAAATTGCTGGATGGTAGAGAAGTGGTTCTTTCGCATGGTAGTAGAATTCGGTTGCAGTTACCGCCTGCCGCGTAATGGGGGTCAATGGGGGTCGAGAGCCACGTGTTCTGAACTCTCCACCTTTGGGCAAGATGTCGGCGCCCAGTGCGCTTTGCTGGGGCAGGGGCAGGGGTGGTTTCTCTCACGCACTGATCTGGATTTGATCAGTTCTTTTCTCTGGTCTCCCAGGGCCCCGCGTTTATGGGGTCCCCGTGCATGGAAGCTTTCCCCTGTCAGTGGGTTTCCACTGTAGCGGCGGGAGTCCTAGATGATCCCCAGATCCCCTGGTCACACAGCCCCTCCCCCGCTCCTTCCCAGACCCATGCGGTGATCCTGGTTTCTAGGGGATGGAGTGATGTTCTCACTTACCCCGTTCCAGCTCCTCTGAGGTGGGCAGTAGGGGCTCCGTCTTCTGTCTTTTGATACTGTAGGCCTCTGAGTCCTGGCATTCAGTTCATTAGCTGAAATTCAGGTTTTTTTTTTTTTTCCAGTCCTTTGTTGTACTTTGGAGGGGAGAGAGTCCCGGGTCAGCTCACCCCACCATTTTGCTCCGCCTCCTCTGCCCCACTGATTTTTCACAAGAGAGCAACAGCAGCTCAATGGAAGAAAGTTGGTCTTCCAAGAGACTAGAGCTACTTAAGGCTTGGGAGCAAATCACAGGTCAAAGCTTAGGCCCAAAATCATTTATTTCTTAATTAAAGGGGAACTTTTAGAGTTTAGGAAGGAAAGAAAATATATAACACTAACTCCTTGGGTCAGAATTTTCCAACTTGAAAACCTTTAAGACTGTGCAATTGAATGGAACTTACTTTTAAATATGGCTTATATAAAGGTTTCTTCTAAACACTAACATTTATTTAAAAAATGATTTACATCCTATGTGATTAAGACATGAAATCATATCTCCCCAAATTAAATTAGGATTGACCTGGGCTAGGGCAGAGTAGGAGAAATTCTCCCTCCTAACCTCCTTTCTCAATATAGAGTACGTAATTTAGACTAGGTCACAATATCCTTTCTTTCTTTGGGTTCCTCTAAAACAAGTGGTGTAATCACACAGCCCAGAAACATGACAGCATGATAACTGTAACAAGATTATGTTATGAGAATCAATTAAACTAGAGTACTCTGAATTGGTCCTACTAATGCATTGCTCATGTATTTCTGTATGTTATTGGTTAATGCACTCTGAAATTCAGAGGCAACTTTTGATAACGTATTCACTTCAAAATAATCTCATACAGATGGTGCCTATCTTGCCATTTTAAAAAATTCTTCTAGGTACCAAAAGAATTCGTGTCTTAGATAAAACTGCCATAGGAAATACAAACTTTCTGGAAATAAGGAGGATTTATAATCCAGAATCTCAGTGGAGACTTCAAAAATCTTATTATATTTTTTGGCCAGCTGCCTTTTTTGTATCTGTCAAGAATGTTTTTATCCTGAAATTCACCTCTTGAAATTTGCCCTTGACTTTTACCTCTCTCTGCTAGAACTTCCTTCCTTTTTCATTCAGGACGAACTATTTCAAATCTCTGCCCTTCACCCTCATCTACACACTATTTAGATCTGTCTTCAACCTCAGTTTGTTTACCCATTTTAACCAAATATGGTCATCCTCCCCTTAGTGAGACCTAACCTCTCTGCCTCTATAATTGATGCTCTTCTTGTTCATCTCCCCAGGACTGTATATCCCGAGCCCCATAGAAAATCATCCGTTTTTTAGGTCCTTTGGTAAATGGCCTGGAGTAGTAAACCCAAAGGAGAATATATCCCCTCCCCCGCCCAAATCCGAAGAGGCTCACTAGGCATTGGGCCTCTCCTTTGGTTGTATTATGGAACAGAAGTCACAACTTATCCTTCACCTTAGAAGGGGTACCACTAGACTTCTAGAAATTTCACTGAAGTCGAAGATCCCTGAACTTTTGTTAGACTTATTTCCCAACCTCTGACATACAGATATCTTACGAATAATGTTAGAATAGTGGTTACAATGTGTGTGTGTTCTGTTTCCTTGGAGAACCCCGACTTATATAGATTTTGTTAGTAGGAGTGGTTCTAAAGGAAAAGAATCTCAAGGATGAGTTTTCTGAATTGTTTCTGAGTTTTAGAATTCTAGAATTTGTTCTCTAATTTGATTAAATTTAAAGGCGTAAATGACACTATTTCCAGTGGTAAAGATGTCACTGACAGTCAATGTCATGATGCGGCAATAGAGATAGGCAAAATATCCCGCTATTGGTTATTCTTAATCAAATACTTATAAAAGGCACTGTTCTTGGTCACTATGTGTGTGATAACTTAAATATTTTAGCTAAACTGATGAGTATAAAGAAATTGGCTGGTTACCACTAGCTCGAGTTCTCTCAACTGATTGCATTGGTTACCTTCATGAGAGCTATAAATGTCAGAGTTATACTCTGAAATTTAGGAAATGTAGGAAAATATACTATGTTTCTAAATACTGTTTGGCATCTCTGTTTCACAGTCCCTCTTCCTTAACCCCAAACTGAAATTCTACTTCTTTACCTGTGAAAACCTGTCATCTCTGTATCATACCGTTGGATAGACGGATAGATATCCATATATATATATACACACACACACATAAATATAGATATATACATATACATATATATATCTCCTATCCATGTATTATCTGTATATATTTCACATATAGCTGTATATATTATATTTAGCATTTTATAGTTATTATACAAAAAGCATCTCCATTAACTGTTTCTCTTCTAAGAACACTAAATGTCCATTTATAAGTGCTCTCTTAAGCTTTGACTTGTCTAACTTTTTAGCATGTTCACACATACATAGTTTATTGTGTCTTTTGGTTGTTTTTGTTTACTTTTAAGAGTATTTTTTTAGAGCAGTTTTAGGTTTAAAAAAAAAACTGAGAAGGAGGTACAAAGATTTCCCACATTCCCCTATCTCCACGCATGCATCACTTACCAGAATGGTACATTCTTTTTTCAGCTTTATTGACGTATAATTGAAATATAAAATTGTAATATATTTAAAGTGTACAATGTGATGATTTGATATATGTATACACTGTGAAAGGATTCCCACCATTGCAATAATAAACAATTTCATGACCTCACATATTTATCTTTTTTTTTTTCTTGGTGAGAACACATCGGTCCTACTCTCGGCAAATTCAATTATACAATGCAGTGTTATCAATTATAGTCATTATGTTTTACAGTGGATCTTGAGATCTTATTTATCTTATAACTTAAAATTTGTATCCTTTTATCAGGCAGTCCCTATTTTCCCCACCCCTCAGCCCTTGGCTGCCACCATTCTAATCTCTGTTTCTCTGAGTTTGAAATTTTTCTTTTTGGATTCCACATGTTAGTGATACCATGCAATATTCGTTTTTCTCTGTCTGGTTTACGTCAATTAGCAAAATGCCCTTCAGATTCATCCATGTTGTTGCAAATGGAAGGATTTCCTTTTTTATGGCTGAATAATACTCCCTTTTATGTATTATACTGCATATTCTTTATTCTCTCATCCATCAACGGACACTTAGGTTGTTTTCTGACCTTGGCTATTGTGAATAATGCTGCAATGAACATGGGAGTACGGATATCTCTTTGAGACAGCAATTTTGTTTCCTTTAGATGTTGCTGGATTAGGGATGGCTGGATCATATGGCAATTCTATTTTTAATTTCTTGAGCAACCTCCATATTGTTTTCCCTTGACTACACCTCTTTACATTACCACCAACAGTGTACAATGGTTCCCTTTTCTTCAAGTCTTCACCAGCGTTTGTTAAATCTTGTTTTTCTGATAATAGACCTCCTAACAGGTATAAAGTGACATCTCATTGTGGTTTTGATTTGCATTTCCCCAATGACTAGCTATATTGAAGCATCTTTTCATGTACCTGTTGGCCATTTATAGGTCCTCTTTGGAAAAATGTCTATTCAGGTCTTTTGTGCAAGTTTTAATTGAGTTATTTGTGTTTTCACTATTGAGTTGTGCAAGTTGAGTTGTATATATTTTGTATATTAACCTCTTTTTGTGTAAGTGGTTTGCAAATATTTTCTCCCATGCTACAGGTTGCCTTTTATTTTGTTAATGGTTTTCTTTGTTGTGTAGAAGTTTTTTAGTTTGATATAGTCCCACTTGTTTATTTTTGCTTTTGGTGTCAAATCCAAAAAGTCATCACCAAGATCAATGTCAAAGATCTCACTGCCTACATTTTCTAGTTTTGCAGTTTCAAGTCTTACATTCAAGTCTTTGTAGTCCATTTTGAGCTGATTTTCATGTTTGGTGTAAAATAGTGATCTAGTTTCATTTTACGATGTAGCTGGAATATAGTCAATCTTTCCTTCAGGATTGTATTTGCACCCATTGCTCAGAAAATTGTTTTGATGTAAAGAAATCTAAAGTCTTAGCCCTGAGTCATTGTATAAATAACAGTTACCTTGAAGACAGTAGTTTTTGTTCTTAAATTTAATCTTAATAATCTCAATACCTACACTGGCAAGAAATCCCTTGACTTATACCATTAAGGTTTGTGTCTTTTAATTATGTGTGCTCATGTAACCCTATTTCAATTGTAAGTACTCTTTGGAGAATTTTAGTACTTTAGCAAATGTTTACACTTCTCTAATAATGCCAGAAGGATGTGAAGCATTTAATAATTTTGATATGGACCCCATATTAATGGTAAAAAACAAAAATACAAGATAATGTTTCTCTCAATTCTAGTCTAGGGATGGCCTCAGGGGCAATTTTGATTAGAGTTTTTCTAACTAGGGCAAGAATCTCTCTTACTGATTTGTAGTTTTTTTCAAATTTGTATGAAATAGTAGGCATATTCCTTTGGGCGTTTTTAACTCAATTATGAAACTTATTTCCCATTCCTCTAATATGCTTGGAAATCTTCACAAAAAAACATTGTAGCCATTCCGAAATTTTTCTGCTCGTTATAGCCCCACAGAAATATCAAATTACCATGTCTGTTGAGCAAAGACACTTTGATCTCTTCCAAAAAATGAAGAAATTAGCTCTTTTTAAAGATTTTATAGGTGCTTGTGGCCTTGAGATGAAAACTGCGTCAAGTTAGACCTAACTCAGACTGGCTTATTTTAGTGAAGGCCCATCCTGGTGAATAGGCCAGATATACCGGCAGCAGTTCACAGTTCTTTTGGTTGATCTGAGGTTGCCTGACCTCCTTAACTTAAAATCATTGAGTCAACAACCCATATTTGTCACAAGAAATAAACTTTATAATCATTGTTCTATCTTTGCATGCTTCATTGGACCCAATATCCTCTTCTGGACTGCAAAAGAGCAAAAAGCTCCCTGGGACTCATACCAACTATCTTGGTAACATGACTGCCTGTTCACTCCCTCCAAACTTCCTTTCTTTCTTGTCTTCTCCTAGAAATACTTCTTTCTCCACCAGAAAATATTGTCCCCAAATCTCTTTATGGCATGAAACAGGATTCCAACTCACCTGCTCTAATTCTTAATCTGTCTTAAAAAAAGATCAATATGAACTAAATTGAAGAGTCATTGACTTCTATAGACTTCCTAAGAGGTGACTAATTTTCTCTGCAAGTAATACATCAGGAAGTCATTTAGGGCAGTGAATTAGCCTTAATACAGCTCTAATATTTCTTTTAGGTCTACTGGACCTACAATAATTTTCTGCTCGTATCACTACAAAATGGCAAGAGACACTCCATAAATTATATAGCTGGTTGAGTGCTCCTGCTGCTGAAGACTCAAGGTTTTACGGAAGGTCTGTGATTTCTCCAAACTCCATGAAAGAATCAACTTCCAACCTTTGAGAATTTAATTGCTCACACTCTCATATCAACATAGAAGCCAATTGGACTAGAGACCACGAGAGGAATACCTAGCTGTAATATCTTGGATTTTAATTAATATCATGCATAGATTTTTCTGCTTGAGCTACCATGCTATGTCACTCTAAGTTGGCTATTTCCACAGTTGGGAATAGCACTAAGAGCTATGTTCGATGAGCCACTGTAGTGTAATAAAAAAATAAATAATTAATTAAATCACAATTTTGATCTTTGATTTACATGCATTTTATGTGTTGTTTTAAATATATTTTTCAATGTACATTTTTATATAGTAGTACTATAGTGTATACAAATAATTTATATATAAATATGTGTATATTGAAGCATACTCAAAAAATTTTACTGGTGGGGTTAAATAATAAGGAAAATTATAGAAACTATCACTCTAAATGACTGTTTTAACTCCACAATTACAGCTTGTTCTGAACCCCAAAAAGTTGACTTAAGATTGATTTAAGGTTTTGAAGGAAACGTCCAACTGTTTTCCACACTGGCTGTCTGAGTTTACCTTCTCATCAGCAATGTATGAGTGATCCAGTTTCACCACATCCTCATAAGATTTGGTGTTGTCACTATTTTTTTCTTTTATTTTAGCCATTCCGATAGATGGTAGTGATATGTAAACATACAACTACCATACACCCCAGTGATTGCTCTCCTGGGAATTCACTCCAGAGAAATAAAAACTTAATTTCACACAAAAACCTGTACCTGAACATTTATAGCAGCTTTATTCCTAATAACCAAAACCTGGAAACACCCAGATGTTCTTTAACATGTGAATGGTTAAACAAACTCTAGCACATCCAAATCATGGAATGCCATTTAGCAATAAGTAAGAAAAACCTTTTAAAACACAGAGAAACCTGTCTGAATCTCTGGAGAGTTATGCTGAGTGAAAAATAAATCCTAAAAGTTTACATACAGTATGATTCCATTCATATAATATTCTTCAAATGACAAAATTATAGAAATGGATAACAAGTTAGTGGTTGCTTGAAGTTAAGGAGAAGGTGGGGGAGAAGGAAGAATAAGTAGCTACAAAAAGGCAAGCTGAGAAATCCCGATAGTGATGGAAAGGTCTGTACCTTGACTGTATCAACGTCAATGTCCTACTTTTCTATTGTCCTATAGTTTTGCAAAATATTGCCTGTAAAGGAAATTAGGTAAAAGGTACATAGGATTTTGCTATATCATTTTTTACAACTGCATGTGAATCTACTATTATCTCA